ATGACTTTCAATTGGCCAGCAATTTCTTGTCATCGATACGATTTTGTTTATGTTTTGTCGATAACTGTGCTTCGTTCAATATTATATTCTTCTACTAACACAATAATTTTTTCTTTTCCTAGATGTAAAGTATCTACGTTATCTTATTTTATATATTTAGATATAGATATATTATACACTTTGAAATAAATTCATGGGATCAATTTTAACCACGATATAATATAAAAGTAAGATAAAGAAATGATGATGGGAACAGTTAAATAATAAAAATGAGATGGCAAGAGTGAGATCGAAATGACCTATGACCTATGTAATAAAATTACCTTGAAAAGATGATCCGTTAGGTAAGAAAAGAATAAAAGTTCTTTTCGGCGGGATAAGAGAAAAGTTTCTTTCTCTCTCTTTTTTCTTTTTCTCTCTTTACTTCTTCAGTTCACTGAACGTTTGTTTTGTTCACCTTCTTAGTTTCTTTGTGGGAGGAAGGTTTTACTTGGCCGCCTTAACCGGTCTGCGTTTCGTCGACAAATCACTCTTCCCTTTATAGCTCGGCAGATAAAGAGCATGGGAGAGAAAGAGAGAGAGAAAGAGAGTGAGATAGAAAGAGAGAGAAAGAGAGAGAGAGAAAAAGAGAAAGAGAGAAAGAAAGAAAGAGAGAAACAGAGAGAGAGAGAGAGAGAGAGAGAGAGAGAGAGAGGTAGAGGGAGAGGATAGATTCGAGGGTTGAAAAAATGTTCCGGAATCTACGTCGATTTGTTACGTGGACAGTCCACCTTTTCGTTATGAGATACTCGGTTTACGCATTAATCCTACAGACTGAAAAAAAGCCGTGCAAACAACGTTTCAACACCTCTAGCACCAAGTAATTTTTCTCTTCTTTTTTTCTCTCTCTCTCTCTCCCTCTTTTCTTCTCTCTCTCTCTCTCTCTCTCTCTCTCTCTCTCTTTCTCTTTCTCTCGCTTTCTCATTCTATTCATTCCCTTACTTCGATAGTCCGGTTTCCTCTTTATCTATTGACCCTCTTTTTTATTGCATACAATATGAACGAGTATGACACGCTAGCCCGTAATTAAGCGAAGCTTTATTTCATTAACTTTGATTTTGAATTATTATTAGTAGCCGAGTTATCATACGATAATTTGCGCGAAATGGAAAACAAAAGGAGAAAAAAGAAGAATAAAAAAGGAAATAAAGCAAAAATTGATTACGATTAATTATAATAAGTATCTTAACGGTCTGCAACACAAGGTATTACAATAATACTTTAAACACCAAACGGTGCTATATATCATGATATATAGAATTATTTAAAATATTACTATATCGACGGACGTTACTCTGTCGTTTGGTAATACGTAAAATGTATTTGGGATAAATCGTTAATTGCATTTTCACGTTACGTACGTATTCAGCGAATTTTAATGAAATTACCACGCGTTAATCATGAACATGTTAACGAGTTAACGTTCAACGGGATCAATGTTCAATGATTATTGAGGAGTATAATAATAAAATAATCATTATTGAGAGTCCAATAAAAAAGAACGATTATGATTTATGAGGAAATTTAAAAAAAATTTCAAAACGCTTTGCTTTTCTTACGATAAGAAAGTTAGGTAGGTACTTACTTACTAGGCAACACGCGAATCAGTAATTAAGTGGACTTTTCATTTATTACTTTTTGTCACGAACTTTTCATTAAACGTGACTAGCGGACACGATAGGTACGTCTTTCTTTGCAATTGTCCACTTTACGCCCTCCCCTCATCTTTGGTTTTCTACTCCCCCTTGACTACCCCTGCTATAGAACATTCACTAATTCCACTTCCGTTTTGGCCGGTCCAATTCTCTCTCATAGTGTGTTTCCTTTCTCTAGAAGCATGTTTATGTCTGACACGTGTGCCTTTCCTGTACATACATTTGGCTACGTGTATGTGTATATATATATCTATGTGTAGTATTCTTATATACATATATATATATATATATGTGTAGTATTCTTATATACATATATATATATATATATATATGTGTAGTATTCTTATATACATATATATATATATAAATAGAATACATATACTTATACATGAACATGGAAAAGTTTCGGGTTTCGTTGAACGCATTTTGTCGAGAGACCCGCAGGTGGTAAAGGACCGAGGGTTGTGTGCCACGAAAGACTTTGCGAAACTCGTAAGAAATTAAACTTTCTTTCGCAAACTCTCTCTTCTTCTCATCCTCCTCTGGCAGTCGTAGTTTCAAAAGCTCGCTCTTTACTCGTCTTTTCTTCTCTCTCTCTCTCTCTCTCTCTCTCTCTCTCTCTCTCTTTCTCTCTCTCTCTCTTTCTCTCTCTCTTTCTCTCTCTCTCTCTTTCTCTCTCTCTCTCTTTCTCTCTTTTTCTTCTGCCTCTCGCCTCAGTTTCCTTTAAAGATCTTCGTTGCGGGAATATTGCGGTTATGCGATGGAATAAATACTTATAAATGATATTTGTAACAGGAACGTGTTGATGTGGAAATAAAGACTGTAAATTAAATAGGCATCATGAAGTTTATTAATTGTTTTTAGAATATATTGTTTTTATACATTTATAATTTTTATATATATATATA